TGCAACTGTGCGTAAGCTTGGTTAGACCCGCAGGGGACTTGAAATCTGGCTGTTGGCTCAGATTGCCTGCAACGGGGCAACAACAAAAACAGAGGCAATACGAGGGCATTCACGATAAACTCTCTTACTACAAGTATGCACATATTGCGCTCGCTACTTCACAGTTCTGACGGAGCAGCTGCTGCTGTTTATATTTGTACGTTGTGTACTCTCCAATTCATAGAAATAGGGGATCTACACGGTAGGGGAAATGCAGCTCACATGAAATAACCGATTGCTTGTCCAGGTTGTAGCGGCCCCCCAAAGCCAGCATTGAGGCGCCGTTCGCCCCCTGTAGCAGAAACAGCAACACGCGCCTATGCAGTTGTAAGTATTCAACTCTTTTGCAACTGATGCAGTGGATTTCATTTAATTCCATCCCACAAACAAACTCATCACATATTGTTGCTCGAAGGGATATACGGGGGGGTTGCACTTGCCACGTAAGTTATCTCGCAACCGGCCTGAAGCCTTGGAGTCAACACTTGTGAAAACATTCCGTCGAGGATCCAACAGGCTGTGATCAATAGCACACAGAAGCTCAGCATAAATATAAATGTTGTTATTTTATATAAATATGGTTTTCTCTTATTCATTTCATGATAAACGAGACGAGCAATCAGTCGTTAAAAACAGGAAAGAAACAAACAGCCTTAGCTGGTGAATTGCAACACAAGTCTACAAGTGCACAAGTATACAGAAATGAAAGAGCAAATAAGTATAACCCAGCATCACGTACATTGCCAAGCAAGCTTCAGGGACGAGGCCCAGTCCTGGCCTGTGTTATCGAGAGAAATTTCATAAAAATTTCGCTGCTCGTCTTTCAGCGAAGAATTGAAGTTTAACTTGAAGTCAGCGCTCTGGCAGAGGGTCTTGATGAGCCTGTAGCGAAAGAAAAGCCGCATTGTACGTATCTGCCGCTGCGCCACTGGGATGTTGGTAGATGCATGAATTCGATAGATTGCTGCCGCGTATTCTCTCTATACTACCCTACAAGACGACACAAGCTTTCACTTGCATCATTTATATTTACATTTATCTGATTTACCTGCCTTGGAGCGACCCATCTGTACCGAGCTTTGCCATTGCAAAGAAATGGGGTGGGGGAGGCTGTGCGTTCTCTCCTTGACTTGGATCTGGTGGAGCTGAGATCGCCAGAGTTGGCCCGAACTGATACGAGTACCCCGACTCGCGTAACTGCGTGCCGAGGCAGAAGCTATGGCATGTCTGAAGGTACTTGTTTACCTGAAACATGAATACACGCCCTCCGCATCTGCTGATTGGCTCACCGGGGAGAGAAACAAACAAACCTAAATCAACAGGAGAAATCAATCAAAACGAATGCATTGCATACCTGCTTTGCACCTTCTAGACGAAACCCATCAAACGTATCTTGACCGGAGATGTTCATCCACTCCCGACCAAACTGTTCGAAAGGGATCGGCTGTGTGAGCCTGCAGAAAGTAGTTTGCCCACACACCAGAGCTGGATGGAAAAACCCCTTGCCTGCAACACTGTGAGTGTTTGATTGCATGAAGATGACAGAACTATAGACATGCACGCATGCACTAGAAACGCAGATACACGCGCGGGTGCAAACATGCAATCTCCTTTGTAACCGCTCGAACATCTACAGTCGTTTCAAGCGCTTTCTATATTGAAAGAGTTGGTAGGAGTACAGAAGTGTCTACTAACTGTGGCTTCTTTGCAGGTTCTGGGACTTCCTCATTCTCCCTTGCGACTGCATCTTGACGAGCTTTCTCTTGCGTTTCCGTTGCTTTTGGGGGGGGCTCGCTTGCTGGGGCCTGTGATTCCTTCGAGCCGAAGAAACTCAAGCCAGGGACGCCAAGGAACCCGGAACCCTTCTCTGAGCAGCGGGCCACTGGATGGCAATCGTCACTTCTCAAAGGTACTGCTGACGAACGCGGCGAGCGAGTATCGAAGGCCGACTCTCCCCGGCGGGTGCGGCGGCCCGTTGAAGAGGGGCCGCCGCATCGTAAGAAGGCAAAGAAGGGCATTGTCGACAGGGGAGAGGGCGACAAATTATATCTTCTGCCAATTATGCATCACCTGCAAAGCTTACGTCCGGAGTCAGCCCCAGGACCGGTGGGGCGGTCGATGGGGCCCTTGCTGCATGCATCGAAATACGGTAGTAATGATGCTCGTGAACAAATCGTGACAGTATAATACATATTCTGTAGAAGAAACACCAAAAACATCATTCAGACGTCACCATTTCATGCAGTTCTGGGTGAAACGCTATTGGCTTTCTATCGGAATCTCGGCGTGTGTAGTGCACTGGCACTACAATGCTGACTCAGAGACGGTCAGTGGGCAAACAATGACGAAAAACCTCTAATT